CCGGAATTTTACAGTTTTTTTTAAATTTATTCTTTTAAAAATGACAAAAAAATGAAAGTTGCTATGCATTTTCTTTTCTTTAATAAGTTATTTATTTATTTTTCTATTATACTTAATTAAATTATTTATGAAATGTTGAAAACATAAGTTGCGTACTAAAAAATCAGAATTAGGTACAATGTGTTGAAGGCGCACTAATAAATTAAAATAGGGTACTAATGTATGATTAGCTAAAAAGACATACTAATGAATTAAAATAAGATTTTAATATCAGATTTTTTTAAAATTTTATTTATTCTTTTAAAACTGACCATTATGTGTCACTGCGTTTATTTTTTTCTGCAATAAAATTAATTTTATTTGGGAAATATCTAATATCATTGAACGCATATGAAGCTAAAGTGAATCAAGTCAAAAGATTGGCTTAATTTTAATCCATAATTAATCAATTTTCGGTTATGAGACAATTAAGGTTAAAGTTTATTAACTCTAGTTTAATTCTATAGTGAATTAAGACTATATTAACTATGGCTCTGAAAATATACACCATTAACCAGGATTGGTAGAAACCCGGGTTTTTAAGAAAGAAAGAAAAAGCTCGATTATATCTTTATGAAAAATTTATAATAGTAAGCTTAGTTGGTAATTTACAATAACAATTTCGTGGGCATAATATGATTTTATTCTTATTAAAAAAATCAATTTTTTTCTTCTCTTTTTTTAGTGAGACGAACATATTTAGGCAATTTGTCTCGTGAGTAAAAAAAAAAAGTCAATGCACCAATTTTACCATTAACCGCAACAAATGCAATTTTATATCTTTGGACTTAATGCAATTTAGCTTTGAATGCTTCACATTTTTGTGGAAGTACAGTGCGCAAAATAAAAAATTGGAACACCCTGAATAATTTTTGATTTAATGATCGGATTTTCCAGTACCAAGACGCAATCTTATTAATGGTTCGAGAGGCTGACCTCAAATATGCTTATGAGGTTCTGCAGACGATATTTTAAGTTCCGAAATCAGGCACAAAAACGTACTTTCTCTGAAGAACTATAATTTTTTCTTCTTTTTTGATAGATTCGAATTCTTGACCCTCTAAATATGGAGGGTAGCCGCAGTCTTAAAAACATGATTCCAATAATTTGGACAGAATGGCAGTCGAATGTTTGGACCACGCAATGTTAATTTGATTGCTTGCTTATTTCACCATCTCAAGTAGAATTTAAAATTTTATTTCTTACGAACTATTCAGCCGATTGCTTTCAGATTTTTGATTGAGTCACTTAAAATTACATAAATTAAAAAAGTGTAAAAATCTGTGAATCTTAATATAACAATTTTACAGACTGAGGTAATAGTAGATAATAGTAGAAAAACTCCAATTATGAAAATTAATTTTTTACATAAAAGTGTCCTTGGATAAACGAATTTTACGATTTCGTGCAAAGTTTTTTTGATTCGTTTAAAGCGATCTACATCCTCACTAATCAACTAGCGCAGGGGTGGCGAACCTTTATACATCAACGTGCCATTTTTCTGAAAAATTTTTTTAATGTGGTCATAGACGTGCCGTCAAATAATTTTGACTTCGTGATTATAGGGAAAATAATAATACTAAACACTATCAACTCAAAACTCTTTATTTACATTGAAATAAATTACATTTTGCAATGTCTCAGTTATACACATAATTCAACTTAAAGTAACATCAGTGTGACTTCTGTTGTAGATGACAAATAACTTATATTAGGTTGTAAGATGTTAGTTTAAGCAGGACTCTTAAATTATTTTTGCTAGTTATTTATTGTTAGCTGGTTTTTTATGGTTATTAATTGTTTCTTTAGCATTAATTGTTAATTTTTTTTATTAATAATTGCTTATTATTTTGTTTGTTTTTCGTGAATTTTAATTTAATTGTTCCATATGCTTCAATTGTGATAGGTGGCGTGCCGAAAATATTGTGTCGAGTGCCATAAATGGCACGCGTGCCATTGGTTCGCCATCCCTGAACTAGAGTACTTAAAGTTGAGCCCTTGAACCATTAAAATTGAACTTTAGTACGTTAAAATCTGATCAATGGATAAAAAGATGTTAAACTTAATATTTTGTGTTATTTTTTTTTATATTCCTGTACTAAGTAATGCCATGAAATTTTTGACGTAATAAAAGCTTAGTTGCAGACAATCATTTTTTATTAGTTTTTAATACTTTAGGTATTTAGAAATGGTCCTGAAAGCTTTGAATAGTATGGTATACAATTTTTTATTTCATTTTGAAGAATGTAACTCTGTATGTCAAAAGACAAAATTTGAACGAAATTGGTCGAATAATTCTAGAGAAATCAAATTTTAGATATACTTTTTAAAATCTTGATAACCCTGAAAAATTTAAAAGGAAACTCTTAAAATCGTGTAAAAATTTGTATACCTTAAATTAAAAATTTTTTTAATTGATTGTTAAAATGAAATATTAAAAAATAATAACAATATTATTAATTCATTTATGCATGTTTTTTTTTTTAATTTCGATAAACGAATTTTAAAACTGTGTGCAAAATTTTTTCAATTCGCTTATAGATAAATCGAAATACAAAACAAGTGAAATTAATATAAAAACAGTCCAAACATTCGACAACGCACTTGACTAAACCACTGGGGACCATATTTTCCAGATTGCGACTCTTCCCCATTTTGTAGGTCAAGAATCAGAATCTGTCGAAAAAAATATATGCTTATTCAAAATGTTTATTCATTTTGTGTCTAATTCTGAGACTTAAAATATCGTCTGCCAGTCCTACAGTAGACTGATCCTAAAGACACGGTTCCCAACAGATCACCGAAGTCAAGCATCACTGGCTGCGGTCAGTTCGCGGGTGGGTGACCACTTGGTTCAGTCTGCGTAGGGACCGAGGGTGTGCGGTATTGGTCTTTGTTAAACTGTTCTACCGTAAAGTGCTCGACTTCGCGTGCAGATCGTTGGACAACCGAAGCGGGGGTGCCATCCCCTCTGCAGAGGATCAAAATTGTGATGACATGTCTTCGGATCATCCTCAGGGATGTTTCCCAGATCATTGCCAATAGCCCATTGTGCAGCTCTAGTGCGACGTAAATGAACTACAACAACAGCCACTAATTAATTAGCATATTTGAGATCAGGCTCTCGACCTATGAGTCCTTGTAAGTGAAAACCCTATCATTAGATCAAAAGTTACTCAGGGTGTTTCGCTTTTTATTTTGAGATTTGTAATAGTTATATGATGATGTAGTGCAGTGGTTCTTAACCTTTTTAAGCCGCGACCCAAATTTGAGAAATATGTTCATGTCGCGACCCAAAAGAAAGTCAAAATTAGGCTGAGTAAGCCACAATGATTTCTTCTAGGAGGTGTTGGTATTACTTATTATTTGGTGTATTACTAACTTTTTTGGTTCGACTCAGCGCGACCCAAGAAATATGCTTCGCGACCCAATTTTGGGTCGCGACCCATAGGTTAAGAACCGCTGATGTAGTGGACTTACGTGAATGCGTTTACCATTTGATCTATTTCATTGTAGTAGAACCAGTGTTGTATTTACTTACTTTCCTTTATAATGTATTTTTTAATATCTTATTTTGTTGAAATTTATGAATTTCATTAACCAAATAAAGACAAATATTTTGGCAAACACAGTTTGCAAATAGAAATACTTGCAATGTCATCCCCCCCTTTTACCAATACTTACATTAAACTTGTATATAAATATTGCGTTTTTTTTTTTAAAGAAAAAATCGAGAGTTCCAATGAAATTAAAACAAATAACAATAAAAAGAATGTATGTGATTTTAGAAGCAAATAAACAGTTTGACGCAGAGCAAATTATGTATAAACAACAAACTATATACTGGAAAATGTTTCTATGGTTTGCACTAATTCATAGAATGTAATATCTTATAAATGTTAATATAGTCTTAAGTTGTAAAACAGAAATAAAAAAAAAACATTCTTAAAAACAGAAATAAAAAACACTATATAAAAACAGCTTAAAAAACATTCATCAATCTATAATAATTTAAACTTAATTTTTTCCCCTTGATATTATTGCTTCGAAGTATTATCTGCAATTATTATTGTACGTTATTTGCAATAGTTTAGAAAAAATCAACTATGCAGAAATTCAATAGATTCAAATTGCTGTTAATTAAATAAGGTTTTAGACTTAATAACTAATTGAAATTTTTCAAAAATGAAGTTTACCCCCTCTGAATTTCAAATTTGAATATTGTAAGAAATGAACTACTTACCAGGTAAACATTTCTCATTCTTCTAATTTAGCTATGAAAAAGGAATATGCTTAAAAATATTCAGTCTGAATTTAGAATAATAATTCACAATTCACTTCAAATTATGTATTTTAACTAAGAATTACTTCTTTGATAAAAATAAATAAATAATATGTTGAATTATCGTTTGCTAGTTTATTGAGGTAGATTTTTTTTTTAAACAAATGTAAAAAATTTATTTTACAATCCATATAAGAAAAATATGTAGTTGCCTATGAGAGTAAATTTTTTGTGAATTATAAACTGCAAAGTTTTGAGCAATATCTTGACTTTTGATTGCTTTTAAAAGATAAAAATTTGGACTAATGTTAAAATTTTTGAAAAAAAAAAACTTTCATTTTTAATAAAATATATTTTAAAGATCGTCTGTTACTTAATGTTTTATGCTTTTTTTCCAGTTCACTGTATGGTAAATTTGATTATTCTATTTTAAATTCCAAACATTTTAAAGTTATTCTAATTTAATTTTCTTACAAAATACAGTTTTCCAAGCTATGTATAACAAAACCTGATATCCAACTTTGATTAGAGCTAAAAGTTAATAGTAAAGTGAATTTACTGGCAAAGTTGTCCATTTTTATAGTAATTTATATTTAATAGTAGCAAGTTTTAAAAGAGACAAGTAATTCTATTGAATTCAAAACTGTATAGATATATACATAAAAATTCAATCCGAAGCTTATGAAATTTTTTCTTCTTTATTATGACATTTTGTACATGAAATTTACAATCAAATAGCCTAACTTTTCATTTACCTATATACAATAGGAACAACTTCCACATCCCTATGGCAAAATACATTTTACATCACTTTTACATTTTTAATCCAGAATTAAAAACATACAGGAAGAATTTACAAACATGAAAATACATTTTTCATTATTATATTCATCAGAAAATATACAACATGTGGTCAGAATGACAAAAATGTATACATTACACGTACTAAGGAGCACATTTATAACAATATTTATCTATCAAAATGTATATCTTAAAATTTCTTCAAAAGTAGTTATCTTAAAATGTATGTTTTAAAAAATAATCGAGGATATTTATTTTAAAATACACGTACTAAAAATATTTTAAAAGTATTTTATTTTTTTATACTTTATGATCAGATGTTTGGAGAGATTTATTTCATTAATTTGTAATCACAAAGTAGATATACGTTAGTCAATATTCAAACATTAATCATCAAGAAGAAAAATGACAGATTAATATCCAAGATTATTTAACTTGAATCCCAATATAACAGTTAATTTCTCGCCATGTTGATAGTCTTCAATGAAATTACTGATTTAAATTCAGTGATTCAAAAATGCCTAATTAGAATATTGGTTTGATTTTTACAGTCAAAATGAACTTTTGTTTTATGAAGGCATTTCTTTTTGGGTTTTGGACTGAATCATCTTAGTTGGTTTCTAACTTAATAGCATAAACATTCAAATGCTATAAAATGCACTGATGCACTGCCATTATCTGAAGAAAAAAAAGTGCAAATGCAACATGCGATGTTATAAAAAATTTCAATGAAAACTAAAAATTTTGGTCTGGATGAAATTAAAAACATTTTTGAATAAGAAATTTTATTGCATGGATAGTAATAATCCTTCTCCATGTAAAAATACTTGTTAGTACTTTTAAGGCAGCTCTATGTCACAAAGGTTTCGTGAAAAAATACTTATCCTTTATTTAAAAAAATGCTACAATATCTGACTCAACAACTATGATACTTAAGAGGGTGAATAGTTGTAATAATAATAAAGTTATCCTCTTTAAAATATATTTTTGATGCATATTATGTGATTTATTATAATAAAATCAAACGTCAAAGCAGTTCAAAAATCAACTTTTTTGTGTACACTTATTTGTGGTTATTTTACTACCAATAATGAAACAATTGTATAAAACATTTTAATGATGTCCCTAAAACTAACTAAACTAAGAGAAATATATAAAATACAATGTGTAGAATGCAATGCTACACAATTTGTATAGCTATTATTCATGAAACGTATAACAGTCTATAAGGATGGTAAAAGATATTAAACTTTTTTTATGCAAGCATTTTGAAACTGGGAAATTAAATACGAATATTTTTTAAATTATACTTTACTTAATTTATGTAAAAAAAATCAATTAATTTTTCAAAATCACCTAAATAAAACAAGATGTTATGCCCATCAAGAAGTGTCATACTGTGAATCAAAATCATTAAAGAAAAAAAAAATTTAAAGAACTATATTCACAGCAAAAAGGTAGAACACAATGTATAAATGCTCTAAAAAGTTATGAAAACTAAAACAAAACTATATAAATTTGAACATAGTATGTAAAAACGTTTTTAAAAGAAGGATGAGATGAATGTAAGGTTGATTCTAAATTAACAGTATATTGACAACTACTCAGCATAACAAATGAATCAGTGGTACCCACTATATATTCTGTAAGCTTCTCCAGAATCTCGAGTCAGGCTTTTTCAATTGTGAACAATCATAAATTGTATATTTACAATTTATTTTGTAAAGAATTTTTTTTTTAAAATATTAATTATAAAATTGTACAAAACAATCACTTCCTTTTACCTTTCTGAAATTTCCCTGACAAATAAATGAACTGTATCAATTTTCTGCAATTTCCCTGACAAATAAATGAACCTTATCAATTTTCCAAAATTTCCCTGACCAATAAATGAACCTTATCAATTTTCTGAAATTTCCCTGACAAATAAATGAACCTTATCAATTTTCTGAAATTTCCATGACAAATAAATGAACCTTATCAACTCTCTGAAATTTCCATGACAAATAAATGAACCTTATCAATTTTCTGAAATTTCCCTGACAAATAAATGAACCTTATCAATTTTCTGAAATTTCCCTGACAAATAAATGAGCCTTATCAATTTTCTGCAATTTTTCTGACAATTAAATGAACCTTATCAATTTTCTGAAATTTCCCTGACACAAATAAATGAACCTTATCAATTTTCTGAAATTTCCCTGAGGCAAATAAATGAACCTTATCAATTTTCTGCAATTTCCCTGACAAATAAATGAACCTGATAAATTTTCTGAAATTTCACTGAAAAATAACTCAAACCATTCTCACATCCTGGAACCATTAAGAATAAGTTCCAGAAAGTGAAGATCCGATCAAAAGTTATTCTGAGCGGTTCGTTTCTCTTGCTCACATTAAGTCCCAAATACGATAATATAGCAAATGTGTCACTTTCTTTATCAGTTCCTTTCAATGACAGATTCAATTCTGTCATAAAAAGAATGTTTTCTTTGCTAAAATGTTTTAGTATTACCAACGGAGACAATAAAATACAGCGCGATTTATGAAACACATCAGAAAAATATAAATAGAAACAATGTTATTATAAATATGTTTTGAAATTTTACTTTTGAATTAATTTTACATTCTAATATTTGTTAAATAGTACATCATACGCTACACAATGCAGCCTACAAGAATTTATTATTTTTTCCCACCTAATTTGGATTTTAAGCTTGATTTTCTACCAAATTTTGATTTTCAATGACTTTTCTCTACCACGCCTTACAGAAAATCTAGTGAGTACCACTGATTTAAAATCTAAGATATATCATATATACAAAAGTACTTTATTCATACATTTAAAGAACCAAATATTAATTCAATTTTATTTACAAATGCCTTATTTATCCATACACATCATATGTACATTTCAGGTGCACAGTTCTTTAAATACACTTCCTTAAAATAAGAAAATCCATTTCTTAGATTTAAAAACGAATTTTTGTTCATAATTTAAGTCCTATAGTGCATCATTCATCCAAATTTAAGCTCTTTAGCAATGAAATTTGACTGCTGTGTTGTCAATGTGACAAGAGGAACTTTTTGGAAGCTGTGTTGAGCAGTTACAGTTCTTCCACATAAGTTGAGGGGAAAACTCCCATGGTACCATTCAGTTCACCTTGCCACCAACCGTCCTCCGTTTTTTGTACCAAAATAATTATGTCTCCTGAAACCACAAAATGTGTTAATTTGAATGAAACAAAATAATTGAGAAGTTTTTATGCTGAAGAAAAAAATATATCTAATGTACATTTTAATCAGAGTTGGGCAAAATATAACTGATTATAAATTAACGAACTACTTTCAATAGCGATTTCGAGTAACTCGTTAACGAGTATAATGCAATTTTATGAGTAGATAATTTAGGATAAAAATTATAAGTGTAAGACTGACTAAAGATTGCACTATGATTACAAATAGCTATGATTATATCTAATTTTCATTACAATTGTAACTTCAATCCCAAATAACGGTGAATTTCGAGTGACTAAACAAATTCATTTTTGTCCAACTCTAATTAGGCTGCACACATTATATACACTGAAGCCCATAAATTAAGGATAATGTCAGCTCCGGTAAATAAAGTTTCGGATCATAAATCACTAAATATTTTAATCTCTTTCTAACTAGTTGTAATACTATTTTCAAATTATTCAACGACTTACAGAATTTGAAGCGTTAATCATAAGCTAATTACTATCCATTATAACACCCTCTGCTTCTAATTTCAATATAGAATAAAAAATCTAATTTTTTTAAAATTAAATTGAGCCACATGGGATAAAAAAAAATATTGTTTTCCATGATTTTTTTAATAAAAAAATAATTATAACAAACTCTCGATTTTCTTAAAATTAAAATTACATTGTTTTATTAAAGATTGTAAAGATGTAATTTTTGAGTAAAAATGTCATACGTTAGGCCTTAATTTTTCAAATCATAATTAGATCATTTTAAAAAGCATAATCAATACAAATGTAAGGTTGGCTCTCGTTATTTTTTGGGCTACCCTCCCTCTGCAATAGATCTAAAATGCGATGGTATGTCTTCGGATCATCCTCAGGAATGTTTCCCAAATCTTCGCAAATAGCCTGTTGCGCAGCTCTAGTGCGACACAAATAAAGTTCTACTTTTACATAACTCAATCAAATATTTTCAAATTGAAATTCTTAATTGAAACTAATTTAACTGCAACTGAAACAAGTTTAACTTCATTATTTCAGTTTCTTTTCTTTTCTTTTATCCGTTGTTGAACAGCCGACCCACTTTTGGGTTTACGACTACTAATGTTTAACTCGCCTTGCAATTTTGAACCAATCCAGAAGAAAAGGAAACTCCTGGATCAGTACCCCCAGAGGTATAATTTATTATGGGAACATGGAGGACTTCGTGACTCGGCAGATTTAACGGGCATCAGTCACCATTTACACACAGGGAGTCTTCGGCAGGCGGGGATCGAACCCATGACCTCTTGGACATGAGCCCAGTGCCCTACCAACCTGGCTATCCCGGCCCCTATTATTTCAGTTTAAAAAAAAATTTAATTCTTCACAAAAAAACAACAAAAATAATTTTTTTTTATATAATGCCGACATTAAAAATGCAAAAAAGGCACACAATACCCAGCCAGTCGCTTGTATACTTTTATTTTTAACACGTATTTTATTTCTTAATTCAAAACCTCTTAAAAGAAAATATTTTATCAAATCATTCAACTATTTTATAAAAAAAAATTTAAAGAAAAATCAAGTGTTTAAAACTGATGGAATCCTGTAAAAAAATTTTTTTTTCAAAAATGTATATACAAACCTGGATGAAGAGTCAATTCGTCACTTAGCTTAGCTTCATAGTCATACAATGCTCTGCACTGTGTCATTGATGATATACCATTAGTATGAGATGGCATATTTGCATACAGGTCATTTGAATCTACAGAAAAGAAATAGCATACATTATCTTTTCAGTAAAAAAGAAATAAACAAAGGGTGCTCAGTAATCACCAACCTTAATATATATTTTTAGAATCAAAAATGGAAGAAAAAAATATACACATTAGAGATTGCAAATTGATATAAGTGAGGGGGGGGACGTTATCAAAAGCTACTCTACAGAGGAAGGTGGAGTGGGAAAATAAAGCAAGTTTTTTTATCAGATAAAATTTGAAAATATCTCTATTANCAATCACTATTCATTATAATATTATCATTATAATTCCCCTACTTTTAATTTCAATATAGAATAAAAAAACTAATTTTTTTTTTGAGTAAATTTTGAGTTTGAAGTAAATATCTATTCAACCACATGGGATGAAAAAAAAGATTGTTTTTCATGATTTTTTTTAATAAAAAATAATTATAACAAACTCTCAAATTAAAATTAAAATAAATTAAAATTAAAATAAATTAAAATTAAAATAAATTAAAATTAAAATTAAATTATTTAATTAATAAAAATTAAAATTATTATTATATTGTTTTAAAATTAAAATTTTTTAATATTAAAATTAAAATTATATTGTTTTATTAAAGATTGTAAAGATGTAATTTTTGAGTAAAAATGTCATACGTTAGGTCTTAAATTTTTTAAACATAATTAGATCATTTTAAAAAGCATAATCAATATAAATGTAAGGTTGGCTCGTAAGGCCACCTCAGCAATGGATCAGAAATGCAATGGTATGTCCTCGGATCATCCTCAGGGATGTTTCCCAGATCGTCGTCAATAGCCTATTGTGCAGCTCTAGTGAGACGAAAATAAAGTTACACTTTTACATAATTCAATCAAATAATTCCACATTGAAATTCTTAATTGATATTTGTTTAACTGCAACTGAAACAAGTTTAACTTCATTATTTCAGTTTATTTTATTTTATCCGTCGTTGAGCAGCCGACCCAATTTCGGGTTTACGACTACTAATGTTCAACTCCGTAGCCTTGTAATTTTGAACCAATCCAGAAGACAAGGAAACTCCTGGATCAGTACCCCCAGAGGTATAATTTGTTATGGAAACATGGAGGACTTTGCGACTCGACAGATTTAACCTGCATCAGTCACCATTTACTGACCATCTTCGGCCAGCTGGAATCGAACCAACGACCTCTTGGACATGAGCCCAGTGTCCTACCAACCAGGCTATCCCAGCCCTTATTATTTCAGTTTAAAAAAAATTATTCCTTACAACAACAAAAAAAAATCATTTTTTTAATATAATGCTGACAATAAAAATGTAAAAAAGGCACACAATACCCAACTAGTAACTTACATACTTTTATTTTTATCACGTATTTTATTTCTTAATTCAAAACCTCTTAAAAGAATTTTATCAAAAAATTTAACTATTTTATATAAAAAAAAATTTATTTTAAAAATCAAATGTTTAAAATTGATAAAATCCTGTAAAAAATTTTAAAAAAAATATATATATATAAACCTGGATGAAGAGTCAATTCGTCACTTAGCTTAGCTTCATAGTCATACAATGCTCTGCACTGTGTCATTGATGATATACCATTAGTATGAGATGGCATATTTGCATACAGGTCATTTGAATCTACAGAAAAGAAATAGCATACATTATCTTTTCAGTAAAAAAGAAATAAACAAAGGGTGCTCAGTAATCACCAACCTTAATATATATTTTTAGAATCAAAAATGGAAGAAAAAAATATACACATTAGAGATTGCAAATTGATATAAGTGAGGGGGGGGGGAAACGTTATGAAAAGCTACTTTACAGAGGAAGGTGGAGTGGGAAAATAAAGCACATTTTTTTTTATCAGATAAAATTTGAAAATATCTCTATTAATTAACGGTCTCTTCCTTTAAATATTTTGAAGCAATTGAACAAGTTTTCATGCATTCAGTATCTTCTTCTTCGTTAAGAATTTATATGTTCAGATAATTTTTTATGTGTTTTTTTAACTGTTTCAACATTGATTTAAGAAGTTATTTTTTTTTTTCATTTCATCTTCGCAAGTTTTTTAAAATAGTACGGTAAGGGCTGTGATCAAGGAGTACCCAACATATAGAAAATGCTATAGCAGCAAAAATTGAACAAAAAAGCACTTTCAATTTAAAAAATATACAAACTTTACACAATCTTTTCCAATGTCTAAGAAAAGCGTTAAAATCAGCTAATTGCTGACTTAAGTGAAATCACTTATGCTTTAAAAAATCTCAATACAATTATTAAAAGAACTATTTCAGATGTTTACAGAATTTTCTGTTAATTTTGGTCCATTTTTTTTGTACAATCTTATTTTTTGACAGCAAAAATTATACCAATTTCATTAATTTATACCCTTCAAGGAAAAGGGTAATTAATTTATGCCATTCGAAGATAAGAAGAAATCAAGGCAAAAAGGAAATTAAATTTATTTACTTCAAATTTAAAAAATGCTAAATAGGTAAATGTATTTCTACGAACATACATTTACCTATTTAGCATTAAAAAAAAGGCCAAAAGAATGAATCGACACAAAATAGAGTTCATCACATACCTCGTACTTGAGAAATATCGATATCAGGTGATTCGCTAGAGCCTGATCCACTGCTGCCAGAATTCCTCCTTTCCATCCTCACCCAGTGAGGAATCTTTAGAACTGTTTGCTGCATACCCTGTGCGGTGAAATAAATTATATTATTTTAATGAATACACTTTTTTAAAAAACTAAAAAAAAAAAACTAACATAACAGATGTATTATTTTCACAATCAAACACATTTTAAAAACAATTGTAATTCAATGGTAATTATTAAGGCTTTCATATTCATTTCGATATAAAGAACAAAAACTATTTCCACTAAAACAAATTATTCATTTTTGAAATTTGCTTAGCGTTAAAATAAATATTTTTACCTTAAAAAAAAAAACATATGCTTAAACGGAAAATTCGTTTAATCAGTAATTGTGTATTACTTTGCACTATAAAAATGCATTCTTGCTTTTCATCATTAGAGGACACCATATCATGAGAAAAACTTTTCATCCTAAATTCGATTTAACCTTCATAAGATATTTAAACTATAGAAAAAGCAAGTTCAGGCAAACCTAGAGTAGGCCATGAAGTTTCAATGGTTGAAAAGAAAATTAAAAAATCAAAATGCAAGGAAATTATTGGAAGAGAGCTTCCCAATTGCATAATCCTAATTTATCCTCTCAAGACGCGGTGACTCAGGGGATAGAGCGCTTGTTTCCCAATGAGGTGAACAGGGTTCATAACCCAGCCATGGCTGGTCGATACGAATTTCGCACCCGGTTATACCGACCACAGCGCTGACGTAAAATATCTTCAGTCGTAGGCAGATCATGGATTAGAGTCCCTTTTCCGCCAGGCTAACTGAGGGAAGTTTACCTCTCCATGTAACGCAAATCCGGGTTATTTCCGTCAAAAAATCCTGATCGAAGGTAAATTTATTCCAATACGTGATGGAAGAGCAGCGATGGCTCAGGGGATAGAGCGTTCGCCTCGGGTTCGAATCCCAGTCGATACGAATTCCGCATCCGGCTTGCACCGACCACAGTGCTGACGTGAAATATCCTCAGCGGTAGACGGATCATGGGTTAGAGTCCCTTTGCAGTCAGGCTAACCGTGGGAGGTTCTTGTCGTCTTCCTCTCCATGTAACGCAAATGCGGGGGTTAGCTCCATTAAAAAGTCCTCCACGAAGACAAATTTCTCCCAATACTCGTTCCAGGAGTTCCCTTGTCTTCTGGATTGGGTTCAAAATTACAAGATTACGGAGATGAACATTAGTGGTCGTAAGCCCATAAAATTAGGTCGGCTGTCCAACGACGGCAATAAAATAAAATAAAATACTTGATGGATTGGAAAGGATAGCCTGGTTGGTAGGGTGTTGGACTCATCTTCGAGAGAATGGGAATTCGAATCCAGCCAGTTCAAGAATCCTGGGTATAAAATGGTGTCTGGTGTACTTTAAATATGTTGGGGTTACAAAGTCTTCCAAGCACCCTTAACAAATCAATACCTCTGGGGTTTTTGATCCAGAAGTTCCCTTGTCTTCTGGATTGGGTTTAAAATTACATGGCTGCGGAGTTGAACAGTGGTAGCTGTAAACTCAAATTTGGGTCGGCCATTCAACGACGGTTATAAAATAAAATACTTAATGAAGTTTCCTTGTCTGCTGGATTGGGTTCAAAATAATAAAGCTACAAAGTTGAACAGTGATAGTCTTTATTTATCCTCTTATAATTAATTTTCATTTCGAATTTTTTTTTATCAAGAAATTTCATGGCTTACACTAGGTTTGTCTGAATTATTATTAATAATAATATTAATCCATATTATTAATAAAAATTTAAATACTTTCAATGCTGCATGGAGATGAAAGAGAATTTGGCATCTTCTTAAGAATATAACAGGCAAAACAACATGTGCTCAATAATATCAAATTTGTAAAACACAAAGTATTTGTTTTATATTGAATTGAAGTTATATGGCAGTATCAAATGCTTAGACCAAAGAAATCAAATTATATTTATCTTTTCAAAGTGAATATCTATTATTCAAACAAAAGATCTAACACTTTATAAATATACAGATTTCGCATTGCTGCGTAAAATGCAATTATGTACACAGTCCAATTGCTACATTAATATATATTGCTATACGAAGTGAAACTGCATACAGAGTTTTATAGAAATTCAAAACTTCTAGAAGCCAGGACCGAATTTTAAGAGGCAGCTTGGAATCAAAAGTAGCATAAAAACTTTTTGCTTTTATGAAACTACTCGAGTAACAAGTAAATTATTATTTGTAACTTGGTACTATATTAGGATTTTTAACTCTCCCCCCCACCCCTAAAAAAAAAATTTTAATTTTCAGATACCCCCTCT